CCATCTCTTTCATAATATTTCTTAGTAGAGTTAAGAATAATAAACTTTCTCTTCCAACCTCAATAGAGGAAATTTCATATTTTGTTTAATGCATCACCATCTATTTGTATATTATAATAAAGCAACGACTTAGAGTTCAAATAACTTTTCTGTAAAACAGCCTAAAGTGGAGTCTCTAAAAATATACAAGTAAAAACTTTTACAAATGCCTCCAAAATATCTTTTTGTTTATTGTTTGTCTTTTAACTTTAACTAGTGCTTCTTCCTAGAAAAAAAAGTACTTCGCTTTTTTCCAAAATTATAAAGACTAACCTGCAGAATGTTTGTGTGGACCACAAAAAGAAGACAGTAATTGTACAAAACAAAAAAAGAACAACAGGACTTGAATATTAGTGAAATATGATATAGGAAGTCGCCTTATAGAGCTGAATGGAGGAAAGGATTCACGTAGAAAGACCCAAATGAATTGGCTTTTTTTTGGCTGTTGTAAGATTCAAAGTAACTAGGTAAAGAAAAGCAAAATCTTTGAAGTTCATATATAATAACCATTCAGAACTTACCTCAAATCCAGAATTTGTTCCTGAGGGGATACCCTGAAAAATGTCGCATTCATTGTGCTCAATTTCACTGGAAAACAAAAGATATTTAATAAGCACCAATACAGAAGTATTGTGTACTAACCTTCTAAGATAATGCCTCAGCTAGGAAAAGATACATAGATCATAAAAGGAGAAGTATTTTACAACAGAAATTTATCTGACTTCTCCTATTGAAAGACAAACTACATTTTCAATTAAATGGAAAGATGTTTAAATGATCAAAAATCTACCTTAAAAGTCCATGAACTGGTTCAGGAGCATGGACAACTTTAGCACCATGAACAAATCCCAAAGCCTGTGAGAATTTAAAATTAAAGATGTCGGATACTGCATATTCATCTATAAGGTCATGCAACACATAAGAACTATACTCATAACCAAATATAATAATAATAAATGTTAGATATTACATGTCCACTTGAACACTACTACTCCCATGCCAAATTATAATAATAATAAATGTTAGATATTACATGTCTACTTGAACACTACTCCCATGTCACATATAGAGATTGCATTTATGTCTAGTTTGAGATTCTTCATCGTGCCCTAACAAATAACATCCAAAGTTAGTTGATAAGTTTAATGTTTAAGAACGGAATGTTCCTCGGCACTCATATCCTCTCTATTGATATGTTATAGCTACTCAATATCTCCATAGCTTGATCCAACAAGTTAATATATCGACTATAAATCATTTTCTATAAATGCCTTGACTGATCCCGCTCGACCCTATTTGTTAATCTTTGTTTTTTTTTAAGGATAGCTAGAAAAAAAACTCTGATACACCCTAAATTGCACTTTAAGGTACAGCCTCGACTGTCAATAGTGAAAGAAATCAGATGATGGTAGCTAACGCGAATGCATGATGCTGACAAACATTAATGAAAGATACATAACAATTTATATATCAATATAGGAAGAACCTGGTGGCCAAGACAAACACCCAATATCGGAATATCCTCGCATTTACGAAGTATCTCTAAGCAGATTCCTACAAATTAAAAGATCATGAAATCAACCTCTCTAGCAATATTCGTATAGAAGCACATAGCAAATAATACCAACCTATGTCTCTTGAGCATGCCGGTGAACCAGGCCCTGGTGATATGACAACATTGTCAAACGCTTTTTCTTCATACAACATATAGAGAACATGCTCCACCGTCCACTCGTCATTGCGAATAACAACAGGTGGCACTAAAAGTGCGAGAAAACAGAATATAAATGCTTAGGAAACATCGTTTGAAATATCAAATAGAAAAAGGCACATCCTTGATGCAACAGAAGCCACGAATCTGGTAAGAGTTCCGAGTTTTAATGCATGTTTCGTTTTATTAACGCTCAACCAATGTGAATTCATGGAGGTATTGGCTAAATCTACAAAATGAACTTCCTGCTAATTCTCAACTATTAGTTTTAGGTGTCTGAATAAATATTTCAATGAAACATTCAACTAAATCAAGATCAAGTACATCCAGATCTAACCTCCATTGACGATTGATAACTCTTGATAGATGTTGTAAGTATAACTATCATAGTTATCGATTAGCAACGTCCGCACGATCTTTCCCCGCCCAATTTCCTCCTCCTCCGCCTCTTCTCCTCGGAGATCCGGTCGTCCTAGGTGGCACCGGAGCTTCAGGGATCAGCGGACGACAGCTACCGACGACCGCCGCCGCCGCCGCCGCGTCGAGATTCGTGACGGAGCGTAGCGCTATCTCAAGAAAATCGAGGCAGCGGGGATTCACCTCGAGAGCGGAGGGAGAGGCGGCGCGCGATGACGCGAAGAAAAAAAAAATCCAAGATTTGCCGACATCGCGCTCTCTGTTATTTTTGTCGAGGGAAAAAGAGAGGAGGAGAAATAAGAGGCCGTGGCGGCTACTTGTTCTTTGAGCTGGGGTAAGTTGCGCCTGCGAAGGATTTTTGACGATAGCGTGCGCCTCTGTTAAGATTGCGGGTCACAGTTTTATTTGTTTGGCGGCAGTCGCTGAGATCTGTTTGACTTTTTGAACGGCGAGACGGTGACGGGAACCCACCACTTATCACGAACTTCTAACGAAACAAGAATAAAAAAATAAAAAATCATGTGATATATTTACTTAGGTAATTACTTTTCATGGTTCATGTGTAACCCTGAGATTCATCCTTTTCCTCTTCTTTAGAAAATCATGTTAGCTCTTATGGCCGGTTTAGATGGAGGGTAGAGAAGGGGAGGGGAAGAGAAATCTAATTTTAACGTTGTTTGGGAGTTCCATTTAAGAGAGTTAGAGGAGGGGAATGGGGGAAATTTTGAGCCAAAATCTTATACTCTAAATTGGGGTGTCCTTCTCTTCCCTGAGTCATCTCCCAAACACACTGTTAGTGAAAACGGAAAACTCATGGTACATTTATGTAACACTTGATAAGATGCACGTGCATTGCATGTGGTTAGATATCTTATTTTTTTCAGTTTATTTCTTTATTATAATTGGGTTTGAAATAGTGTATCACTATCATAAAATATATTGAAATATTTTAGATGTCTCTAGGACAAAAGTTTTTTTTTGTCTTTCAAAGAAATAGTAAAGTTTAGAGGCTTAAATATGACATTTTAAGTAATAAGTCATCCATCTGATAACATTGTATACTTGGCACCAATAAGAATATTATTTAAGTAAAAAGTAATTTTTATGATTGCTTGATAATTTGGTTCGTCAATGATAAGATTGATATTCCTTCTACAACCACATCATACTGTGTGAATCTATTTCCTTTCAAAATTTCTACTATAAAAATTTCAAGTTATGCTACCGTAAAAAGAATATTCTTTCAAAAAATGTCCCTAAATATTTATAAACACATAAAAATTACGAATGAAAATAGACTTTTTAAAATAGATTAATGAATAAGGCACTCAAGAAGCATCCCCTATGACAATAATTGAACAATTAAACAAGTATACACAAAAAGAATTAATACATTTATCTGGTGATAGTAGTAACCATAACAAACTCTCGTTGCATCTCATCATTTTAGTTCTTGAATACTTAGTAAAAATAAGCAATTAAATATATTAATTATTAATCAAAATAATGATTGGATGTCCAACGTAAATAGAAGTTGCACTTTAAATATAGAATACAAATACAAGAAGAGAAGAAAAGAAATCAGAATACAATTCCTCATGATTTTTCCGACTACATCTATGTCATTGGTCGTAGAGAACCTTTATAACTCACCCATTACAACTACTTACTCAATGGGCGCCCATGAATGATATTTATTGTATAAATTATATAAAATTTTATTTTAATCAAATCAAAATGAAAAGACAAGAAAAGAAAGCAAACACATTATTGAACTCTCTCTAGTTATCACCAACTAACACCTCATGGTACACAATGTAAATATTACACATATGCTTCTGAACCCATTAATCAAAAAAAGAGCATGTCCAATAAATAAAGTTAGAAGATTGATTATTGGCTAAATGACACTGAAATACCATATATTTTCATCATTTTATCAATTAAATCTCATAACTAGTTTCTCATGGCACTTAAATATCATAAGTCGTCTATCATCAAAATCCTGTTAAAATTGTTACTATTTTATAAAGAATACAAATATCATTTCCCTACCTGATTTTTAACCTTAAGTTCTTCTTCTTCCTCCTCTCTCAAATGAGCATCTAATTCACCTAATTCTCTTCTCTATCCATAATAATGTGCTTATCCTCAAGTAATTTCACTTCTTTCCCCTTCAATTTCATATTCTTCTCTCTCTCTCTCTCTCTCTCTCTCTCTCTCTCTCTCTCTCCCTCTCTCTCTCTCTCTCTCTCTCTCTCTCTCTCTCTCTCTCTCTCTCTCTCTCTCTCTCTCTCTCTCAATTTTTCCTTGTTCTCAATTTTTACATATGTTATCATTGTTAACCCCTTCCTTAGAGTCATCTTGTTCATATTATTAACTTTCCAATCACCATTTGAGCTTGGTGAGGAAAGGGCTTGTGCTTCCAATAAAAAAAATTGGACATTAGGTTTCAAATTCAAAGATGACATGATTTTAACCATTAATAAAGTTAAAGATGAACTGAATTTATCATTGATAGCTGCATAACAATATTCTGTAGAATATTCTCATGTGTGACTAACAAAATATATCAACATAAAAAATTTGTGAAACTTATGGTAGCAAAAAATAACTTTTGGTATTTGTTACTATATGCATACCTTAAGCCAAAATCCTTTGCCACAAACCCTCCCGGAGCTTGCCTACTTCTCTTCTCAAGTAAAAATATCATGTGTCCTAAACTCTCACCGTCCATCTTCCTAGCACAAAATAATTTAAATCTATAAAAAATATAAACCATCCGTTTTAAACAACTCATCCAATCTCTCTCATATTACAAATCACCCCAATATAATTAATCGATCACCAATCTGAATCCAATCTCAATTGATTTCTCTTTTTTATCATCCTCATCAATCACGTAATCCCCAAAATCTCCTTGGAAATATACCCATAATTTCTACCTTGATGACATACTAACTAGAAAAATCCACACAGCCAAAAAATAGAAATATTAATGAAAATAATTCTAAAAAATCCCCGTCGTCTTTTCATCACCATCATCTTCCATCATCCCTCAATCTCAGTGAGTATCTTGACAACCAACCCTTTTAATTTCCATTGATTGTTTTTTTTAAACAATTTTTGCCGTATACTATTTTTTCAAATCACTCCCCACATTTTTCAATTGTCTTCCCAACATCATTAACAACTACTACATACTCACGAGTAAGAACTCTTCACATAATTGGTTTTATTATTTTCAATATTTATGTGATAATTACCCTTATATGGTTGCCTATTTTATTTTTAAGTAATTTGTTATATTATTTTACTTTTTAGAGCTTGCATGTGCTAAATTATGTATTTATCGGTGAGTTTTAATATTTTTCAAACCCTTTCGACTCTTTCCTCGATCATCATCTAAAGGACATCACTGACCACTATATATTCATAGGTAAGAATTCCTAACCAATTTAATTTTTAATATATGCATCGAATTTATTACTAATTTCATGTTTCTAATTTTTTAATTATAGTTTTTCTAATTTTTGAATTATTTTTTTCAGATCACCAAAGATATTTCTTCCAATTAATTTTTTTTTATTTTTAGAATATCAGAAAATAACTTATACTAATTTTTCTAAAATTAATATGATTTTTACAAATATCATGAAATTTGAATTTTTTATAATCTATTCACAACGAAATTTTTAATTTTTGATCAAGATCCTATTTTTCAAATTATATCAAAAGTATTACTAATTTCGTAATTAATTAATAACAAAATTTTTAAAAATAGTAATTTCGTGATTAATGAGTATAAAAATTAGAAACAATTTTACAAAATCAATTAATATATAACAAAATAATTTTACCAAATCAATTAATATATAACGAAATAATTAGTACCGATGTTTTTAAAAATTATTTGTTACTAAAATTTTCACAACTTTTACTTTTTATTAATTTAAATTTTTTAGAATTTTAAATTTGAAATTTGAAATTTTCAAATTTAGATCATGAGTCGATTTTTCAAATTATATCAAATTTATAACCAATTTTTTAATTAACTAATAACACCATTTTTTAAAAAATAGTACCTCCATGATTAATGATACCAAAATTAGGAACAATTTTTTTTAAGAAAATAAATTAATATATAACGGAATAATTAGTATACATATTTTTAGAAATAATTTAATACTGAAATTATATCGAATTTTGCATTTTAGTAATTTAAAATTTTTAGAGTTTGGAATTTGAGTTTTTTAAAATCTATTCTTAACTAAAATTTCAAATTTAGTTCATGATTCTATTTTTCAAATTATGATGAATTTATTACTAATTTTGTAATTAATTAATAATAAATTTTTTTTTTAAATAGTAATTCTGTGATTAATGTATACCAACATTAGAAATAACTTTTAGAAAATCAATTAATATATAACAGAATAATTAATAACGATAGTTTTAGAAATAATTTAATACTAAAATTATATCAAATTTTGCAAGTTAGTAATTAAATTTTATCAAATATTAATTCTAAATATTATTTGGAAATTCATCTCAGAATATGCATGTGCTCTGTTTTGTTAATTTAATTGCACTATTTTTCTACAGAATTCCTGAGTCGTCTCCTAATACATTATCAGGTTCCTTATTCTATCCTACTTGATTATGTCCATATATTTTCTTCTATTTATATCTGTTGTTATATACATTAATTTAATTTAATTTAATTTAGTTTAATTTCTCATGTTTGATTGTAGTAGTCATGTTCTATAAATTCATTTGCTTTGAAGAATCTGGGTTGGTTTGGGTTGGGTTTTAATTTTTTGTATTAAAATATTAATATCATGACAAGTATAACCCAAGGTGATTCATCTCAGAATTTACACGATCTTTATTTTATTTAAGTTTTATTTAATTTGTTATTTTATTTTGCTACAGAATTCCTGGACCTCCTAATACAATACCAGGTTCAACATTCTATGCTACTCGATTATATCTGCTGTTATATACACATATTTTTTATTTTATTTTTAGGTCATGTTTGATATCATATGTTGCTCACGAATAAATTTTGGATTACATTGAATGGTATTGTAACTTAGATGTAGAGAAGGAAATTGATAGCGGTTTAATTTTAATTAATTTTATATAATTTATATACATTAATAGCATTATACAATAGTATTGATTATA